TGGCAACTAACAGGCGGTTTAGCCGGGTGCTGGGTTTGCACATCGTCAACGTGGGACCCTGGTCAGTGGCAAAATCAGAACAAACTAGTGACAGAGGCCGAGTCCTCCACCCTGACCACCAAATTCCATCAGACCCCCTTAATCCAGAGTTCAGGCCTTACTCCCAGTGCCAGGGTTCCCTGGCAAACTTGCCAAGGGTGCACTCAACCCCACCGCCCGTGTCGCTGACAAAAACGTTAAATAGCACGTTTACCACGTCTGGGTCCCGATACGGACCTGAGGGACACAACTCGGCACTGGTCTCCACCTGGACAGCGAACTGTTGACCACAACTCTGAGCACGGCCATCCAGCCAATTCCTTATCCACCAAGTGCTCCATCCATCCATCCACGTTAAGAGGAAAGGACGCTGTGCAGTCTAAACACCACACAAGTCCAGTAGATGCCATCAGTTCCCCCCCCTTTATTCACTGAGGCCATAAGCCCATCGTAGAACCCACCAAGTCTGTCAGGCACGCTCAGCCCTTGGTGAAGCCACGTCAGCTGTCACTATCACCGGTTTTCCTCGTGCCTTAGTTTCCAGGAGGATCTGCTCCACGGTCTTGCTGGGCACAGCGGGGAGACTGATCGGCCTGTAGCTCCCCCAGGTCTTCCTTTTTTCCCTTTTCAAAAATGGGGGTCACATTTCCCCTTTTCCAGTCACTGGGAACTTCACCAGACTGCCACAGCTTCTCAAACACGATGGATCGTGGCTTAGGAACTTAACGGGCCAGTTCCCGCAGGACCCTCGGATGCACGTCATCGGGCCCCATGGACTAGCGCACAGCCAGGCTCCTGCAGCAGTCAGAGCGGGCTGGGGGTCAGTACTGTCCTCCAGCTGCGACTCACAACTCCTCACTGTCCTGTGTTCTACCCTTTTGTTAATTAACCACTACTGCTGCCGGTTCCCTCCGCGTCTGTGCACACACGTGCGTATGTTCCACAGCCACCTCAGCTGGGACGAGCCAGCGACCAGGAGAAACCCACCATCCAGGCACCCAGGGTCTAGACATGGGTACCCAAGGGACTTCAGGTCATGGGCAGAGGCGGGGGAGTGCCGAGAACGTGCACGTGTACTTGAGTCACGGAAAGCACAGACCGACGACCCAGGAACAAACATTACGCCAGCAGGAGCCAGATCGGGGCACTTCCTCAGCTTCTGTTGGCAGCAGGTGTCTGAGGGCTCTGCCCTTTACATCGCTCTGTTCCTTCCTGGCCACGTGCAGGCACCTCTGCCATTCCCACTCGGCCGTACACTTGGCTGGATGCGTGAAGAGGGAGAAGCAGCAGCGCTGCCCGGGAAGAACCCCCACGCCATACTGTCCGCAAGACGTGGCGATCCTTAACAAAACCATCCCTCACACTTCATATAACTCCCTTTGCTACAGCCCACACGAACGCTGCACCAGAAAAAAGCCCAAGGACAGTAACTTAACCACTAGATTTTTAATTGTGCTATCCCACTGGCTGCTTTTCCAGGGAAAGCCAAAGTACACCAGACCCACAGACAGAACAGCAGACCGCGGTCACCCATGGCTACCTGGAATTCCTCCAACACTTCTCAGTCCTCCAACACAGACGTGGCCCCTATATCCAAGGGCCTGTAGCTACTGCACATCTTCCCTGTCCTTCAAGACAGGCCCAAGTCCGTAAGCAGCCAGGGGGGTAACAGGTTCTGACGGAGACAGCAAGGAGACCACCAGGAGTTCACCCAAGGAAGGTCAGGAAAGACCAGAGGTAACAGGGCAGAACCAAACTTCAGCTGTACTTGGTCTCAGGCAGACAAGCTCTTCCCAGTCCCTCAGTTGGGAGCAGTCCTGTGCGCTGGAACACGTCTGCCCTCTGACTGGAATGACTCTGGGAAGCACAGCAGGTTCCCACAGCCCAGCACAGGCACTTTCACACAGGCTGCCCCTCTGCCTGCTGGGGCACACCCGCCGTCGGCTGCGGGCTCCGGTGACCCCCGCCCTGCACGCGAAGGCAAGTGACTGTACAACTGTCCCTGGGAAGACGCAAGTGGTTGCAAGCGCCACCCGCAGTGTCGCGCGCGGCACACAGGTCAGACGTATCGGCACAGCTCATGGGGTTACAGAGGACAGGTTGAGTGGGGAGACACGACGTGTGGGAGTGTTGTTGGCTGACAACGACGCAGGGAGGAAAAAGGGAGCAGCAATATCCGTGGATGAGGTTTCTCCTTGGTTGCGAAGCTGCAGGATCTGCCGCAGCAGGGCCTTGCCTTCTTCCCTAGTCTGAAACCAATTTGTAAAAGCCAACCATTACATCTACAGATGGGTGGTTTCTGGGTCACATTTGGTAGGTAAGCGGTGCTGGTTACAGTAGTCTGCCGCTCCGCAGGGCGGCGGGCAGTAAACAACCGTCCTCGTTTCTCTTTCTGTCTGCTACGTAAAAGCATATGCGGTTTTTCTTTTAACCTTCTATCCTTTTCTCTCCTGATCCGCACGTCACTCAGGTATTTCAGTGGTACCCCTAACCACTGAAGCTGTCTAAATAGCCCAGCACAGATAGAATCATAGAATCATGGAATGGTTTGGGTTGGAAGGAACCTTAAAGACCATCCAGTTCCAACCCCCCTGCCATGGGCAGGGACACCTTCCACTAGACCAGGTTGCTCCAAGCCTCATCCAGCCTGGCCTTGGACACCCAGGGATGGGGCATCCACAGCTGCTCTGGGCAACCTGTCCCAGTGCCTCCCCAACCTCTCCGGGAAGAACTTCTTCCTGATATCCAATCTAACCCTCCACACTTTCAATTTAAACCCGTTCCCCCTTGTCCTGTCACTACAGGCCCTTGCAAAAAGTCCCCCCCAGCTTCCTTGTAGCCCCTTCAGGCACTGGAAGGTGCTATAAGGTCTCCCCGGAGCCTTCTCTTCTCCAGGCTGAACACCCCCAACTCTCTCAGCCTGTCCCCATAGCAGAGGTGCTCCAGCCCTCTGAGCATCTCCGTGGCCTCCTCTGGACTCGCTCCAAGTGGTCAATATCCTTCTGATATTGAGGGCTCCACAGCTGGACGCAGCACTCCAGGTGGGGTCTCACAAGAGCAGAGTACTGCTCACAAGAGCAGTAAATAGACTGGCGAAGCTTCAAATAACCTGCGCTGGGGTTCTCCAGAGCTCCAGGCAGCTTTGTCTGGACAGGCAGAACACCCTGCGCCAGGCTAAAAATCCCCAATCGCCCACTAGGATACAGACCACCTCAGAACACGGAGTCAGACAAAAGCCCAGTACTGTTCATCCTCTGGAGCCACGTGAGCACATCACTACACAGTGTGGCAGTCTGAGCATTTATCCACCTCCTCACCCCCATTTCCAGCGCCAAGTGGAGCCTCAGATTCTTTCTTTAGTGAGCTCCGAGGAGACACGGTTCAGTCTGACTACCTACCCCCTGTGCCATGGGCTCTGTCAATCAGGAGCAGCACTATGATGAGGTACACCCCACCACCCAGGGGTGACCTGCGTGGCAGACAGCCCTCCTTCCTTCAACAGGGGATTCCTCCTTCTCCGAGGGGAGCCAAGATCAAGGCCACAGAGCCCCTGAGAAACACCCAAGAGCGTGCGGCTACTCACGTCATTGAAGGCGCAGCACTTCTGTGCACAAGCCGAGGCTTCATCCCAGAGCTTGCACTTGAAGTAGTACTGGGCCAGGTAGCGGAACGCCGTGCTCACCTCCAGGTGCTCCACGATCTCCTGCAGACAGGGCGAGAACCGTCACCCGTGAGTGTTCTACACCACACGTACTGCTCCTTTTAGTGCCAAGATACCATCTTACCCCACAGGAATAGATATCCTGGATGTATTTGATGTAGCACTGAGCCGCCTGCTCGGATTCATTCAGCTGTTCGTGCAGCCTAGAAAAGGAGAAAACAGGGGCCGCTGGAACAAGAGTGCGGTGCTGCAGACCTTCCTGGTCGCTAAGCAAGTGCCTACTCAGCGCAGCCAGGACTGAAGCCAGGCCTGTGCCTTCAGAACCTGTACGACACACACCACGTACTGCCCCTCATGGAAAGAGATGAGCCAGCTTGGAATGTTACCGGGGAGGGAGCTAGGCAGATACTAACTGCTCGGGGCACTGGCAACCAACGCAGGGACCTCTCTTCAGGCTGTTACGTGTTCAAAGCTTTTAACAGGCCTTTGCCATCCTACTCTGGCTATTTCCTCCAGCACTCCCTCCTCCCCTGCTACATCCCAAAAGTCTTTGCACAGCAGCTTCACCTTTCACTTGCCCTTTCCCTTCCCTTTTTCCATGTTGTTGCTTTACCCCCATCAAAAGTCAGTGCTGACGTCAGAGCGTTCACGTTTATTTCCCATCAGACCCTTTCCCAGTGTCCCAGCCATATGCGGGGGAAATTAAAACCCCACAGTTCTGTACATCATCAACCCATGGACTGCTGTGAGCTGCAACAGGACAAGCAATTTCCAGCACTGCCTGCTCAATCACCTTGGGATACAGAGGTCCCTTGCGACCCCCATTATGCTGATTCCCTCTAGTTATCCTGAGGGGAACGTAAAGCTAAAGCTAGACGCCTGGATTTGCAGTCACTGCTGACCGAAAGACACCACTTACTACACAGCTCCAAGAGCAGTACTGCCCCACAGCACCCCACTCGTTCGTGCCGCTCGCCCGGCGATTCCCAATGGGGAAGTACAGAAGGCAGAACAACGCGACAGCTCAGTGCAACACACTCACTTGGCTAGTTTCACCAGTGCCATTTTCTCCACGTCTCCCACGGCGTAAGCTCTCCAGTAGCACTGTCAAGGAAGGCAGGTCAGTAAAGCACATCACAAAAACGACCCCAGCTCGCCACTCGTGCCACTTAGAATGGGGAAACTCCACGGCAAAGGGGGCTTGTACCACCCGCAGAACACTGTTTATCAGCTGCTCTAGCTGGATTGCAGCTGAACTTCCCCAACCCTAACACCACAGAAATGGCCTCAGGAAGCTGCCAACAATGTGCCGCGTGCATTTCCAGTAGCACCGGCGAGGCAGCTTTGCCACAACCCCACCGAGTGCCCTGGGAGACACCCGTGTGTCTTACTCCACACACCAGTTCTCACCTTTTTAGCTTCCACCAACTGATTGAGTTTTTCGTAGCATTCTCCTAGAGCAACCAGCATACGAGAATCATTTGGTCTGTAAAAGAGCAATTCCCAAGTGTAGTTTAAGGGACAGCCACCTGATCTCAGAGCAGGGAGAAATATCCACTCCTGGCAGTGCCTGTCGTCCTCACCGACACAAAACATCCCTTATACTCTTGACCAGCATTCCTTGGCATTTAGCTGACACAGCCTTTGTTTATAGCTAACTAACAGAACTAGAAGGATTTGGAATAGTGAGTACAAACCACACAGGACTGATGTTCTGAGAGTTGGGGGGTTCAACCTGGGGAAGAGAAGGCTTCAGGGAGACCTCAAAGCCCCTTCCAGTGTCTGGGGGGCTACAAGAAAGCTGGGGGGGACTTTTCCAAGGGCAGGGAGTGACAGGACAAGGGGGAACGGGGTTAAACGAAAAGAGGGAGATGGAGATGGGACATGAGGAAGGAATTCTTCCCAGAGAGGGTGGGGAGCACTGGGACAGGTTCCCAGAGAAGCTGTGAATGCCCCATCCCTGGAAGTGTCCAAGGCCAGGCTGGATGAGGCTTGGAGCAACCTGGGCTATGGAAGGTGTCCCTGCCCATGGCAGGGGATGGGGCTGTCGGGGGCTATAAGGTCCCTTCCCACCCAAAGCATCCTGTGATTCTCCTCCCTTGCCCAACTTAGTCCCTGTGTGTAAACTCCTTAGCTGGCAGCAACCCATCAGAGTGAACACCCATAGAAGTCTCTGTTCCCAACTCTACCTGAGCTGGTGGGCCCGTCGGTAGTAATAGAGACAGTAAAACGGCATTTTGAGGATTTCATAGGTTTGCCCCAAGCCATACCACGCTCTGTAGTCCCTTTTGTTCACCTCTATTGCATGTCTGTCAAAGAAAAGGAGAACCAGTCAGACAGCAAACCCAGGACAGAGTTCAGCAAAAGACTAACAAGTAGATGTTACTTCAATCCTTACACATGCAGACCCAAACACCACTTTGTGCAGTACACAAGTGATACCTGTAAGCCTGGATAGCTGCAGATGTGTTCTTCATTTCCATATACTCATGTCCCATAAGTGTCCAGGCTCCCAGATAACGGGGATTCAGTTTCAAGGCCCTCTGGAAATAGAGGGCTGCTTTTTCATGCTGGGAACGCAAGCTGTAATAATTCCCTAAAGCAACAAACAATATTTAAACACATTAAAAAAAAAAAAAGAGACACCAACAGACAAAAACCCCAACCAAACCAACCCAAAAAACCCACACACCACTAAAACAAACCCCAGCAGAGAAGTATAAAAGTGGCAGAGGTATAAGAGTCCTGTTAAAGGCAGGTCTGATTCAAACCTCAAGAGACCCAAGTCTATTCCCCAGTGTTCTGGTCAATCCTCTTCCCATGTTAGATCATGTCATGATCTAACAAATTAATTTCCTTGTCCTGACACACAATTATTTCCACTGGAGTTTCAGGACCAGAAGCGGGTTATCAGCTCCATGAGTCTGATAATTCCTTCCTGTGTGGCAGCATTAAAGCAGCTCTTTGGCAGGGAAGTGAGGGAGAAGGGTGCCCTGTCACTCGGGCTGCTTCCGAGGCTGCCTGAAGGCACATCACCAAGCGGGCGTGCTAGCCTTGCCGACTGATCCCTTCCACACCCGTCTGCAAGGTCTCCTCGCACAGCCCGCGGACAGCACAGCAAGGAGACGTGAAGCGTGGGCTCTCACCGATTACGCAGCAGGTCTCAACACGATATTTGTCTATCTCACAGAGATTGTGAGCCAGGTAGCTCAATTCAGGCTTCATGCTCTAGTGAAACACAGAAATGCAAGGGATGAGACGAGGAGCGCGTTACGGTCTCCAAGAGCAGCTAAGCAGTTAGCAACGCACGCACTGCAGCTGCCTCACGCAGCGGAGAGGCAGGAGCTGAAGGCCCGCGTTCAGGGAGGCTGGAGAGCACCAGCTGCTTTGCCAGCGCTCAACACACCTCTGAAACACCACTGCCACGCGCAGCCCGCGGGGAGAGCGCTTACCCTTACATACAGCAAGTTGGAGAAAGTGTCCATGTTTTCTATCCTGTAAGGATCTTGTTTCCTTAGCTCATTAAAGATGGATAACGCTTTGTCAATGTCTGGAAAGACCAGCAGATGGGAGAAGAACTGTAAATGCCACGTTTGCATGAGGAGGCTCATTTATACCAGTTAGCGAGCATCACTGACCTCTGATGTTGTGGTAGGCAACTGCGATCTGAGAGATGATGTAAGTGCTTTTGGAAAATCCTGCATCAATGAGACTCTGATACTTCTGCAGAGCCTCCTCGATCAGCTGCAGCTCTGTGTAAATGTGTGCGAGAAAGAACTCTTTCATCCATGTATCTGGCAAGGACAGGAACTTCAGCTAGCGAGAACCAAAGAGGAGGAGGAAGAGATGACAATCAGTAGTATTCCAAGAGGCACCTGTGGCAAAGAATCCACTATCTTCCCTTCCCCAACTTAGCAGAGGGTCTGAGGTAGGAGGCCTTCCTGCAACCACTTTCTTAAATCATAACACCAGCTACAGAAGAGCAGTATTAGGACCACGAATCAGTATCAGGTTCTTCCTCAGGACATACAGAATAATGCCTATAAATTGAGATCATTGGAACAGGAAAGGAGCATCAAGACATCCAGTTTAAAATGCGGTACAATATACACATAATTCTATTTAGTCACTCCCAATCTCCTCCTCTGACTGCTGAAACTGCCGTTTGGTTTGGCCAATCAGTGAAGAAATTGTCTTCAAATCTGAAAGCATCTGGCTTCTGCTCCAGCTACTGGCCTTCTTTCTCCATTACATCCGCAAGTCCTTTGGAAGATCCTACCTTATTCCTGCGTTTGAACAGCAATACCCTATCCCTATTTTTTTGAGCTAAGCGAACAGGCTCCAAAGAATCTTACAGAAAAGGCACTTCCCTTTTCCCACAAACGAGTACGGCTCTCTTATCGCCCCCTCGACCTTTTTAAATATCCCACCAGCCAGACTTGACTGAAGAACTCCAGGAGTTCATGTCACATGGGCAGCTTTGTACAACACCAGTGCTGTAGTTTTAAAGGCCGTGATTCTACCCATCTGTTCAGGCCACAAAAGAAAGAAGGAAAAGGCGAGGTATTTTAGGCAGATCTCCTCCACATGACAAGGTAACAACCCTGCTGACAGCTAGTTCAGAACGTCTGAATGAGCCGCTCCGTAAGCCGCTGTGCGAGTGAACGGTAAAAACCGAGCCCTGCCTGTTTACGGCTTCTCAGGCTACAGCATGGCAAGCAGCTGACAGAAGGGGCTTTAACACCACCACTTACAGCCTCAGACTGCCTCCCCTGCTAGAGTCTCACAGGGAAAAGCAGTGGGCAGCAATCTTGTGGCAACTGAATTGTTGGTTAGTGAGTCAGGTTAAACTCGGAATTTGTTACCGCATCTTGCTATCTCCCAAGTTTTACCATCTCTTTATCTGTAATCAAGTTGCAAAGTTCCAGCCAGGCTCCCCAGTGCAAAGGCAAGACGTGAGCAGCTTCAACAAACACATCTATTGCTTCTTTCACCAGGTCGAGCTTCCGCAGCACGACGCCGTAGCTGTGAAGGAAGTTACCAGGTTAATCAGACTCAAACTCCGCATAACCACACAAATACGCCAGAAATCCACGCAGACACGTACAGGTAAAGGCCAAATCCATCCAGTTCCCGTGCTTTGTGTTTCTTGCTCAGCTCAACTCTCAGTTCTCGTAGAGCTTCATTTTTCACCTGCCCTTTTTCCAGAGGTCCTGCATGAAGAGGAAGTCAGACAGCTTGCTTTCAGTCAAAAGCCCTACCACAGCAATTGCGACACCTAGGGTATATTCGGAACAGTCACAGACGTGACCCGAAGGCGTCCCAGACTGGATATTTTCCTCTTCTTAGAAGAGGATCCCTTAGTCTGATCACCTCTTTACCAGAGTAACCAACGGATGGAACTGTAACCTCTATGAAGCCAATGGAAGAAATCATGTTACAGCTCACTATTACCCAAAGATTGAGGGGAAAGCCATAGAACCGAGATGATGTACGTGAAGAGGCATTACTGGAAGCTTCATCATAACTGTCTTGTGTTCCTTCACACCAGAGACTTACCCAAACTATCCACTGTCTCATCATCCTTCTTCTTCTCGCCCGACTGGAAAACAAAAGCCCCAAGATTACATTACAACACCACATCCCTTCAGTTTGCTGCAGTGCTAGCAGCAGTACGCAAAGGAGTGCAGTGCCAGAAGGCAACTTCCCTTCCATCTTACCAGGTATCTAGAGTACATATACAGGAAGTAAGCTTTCTGGCTCTTGCAGCCCCGTAGGAAATAGGCAGCCCTGTCATACTCCTTTAGATCAAAGTAAGACTTGGCTAATGTGTAGGCATCCAGGTCACGAGCATCCTCCTGCAGGGACACAGAAGAGTTTAAGGCCTCAGAAGCTCTGATGTGCTTAAGAAAAATCACCTAGTTACAAACATATCAGTGAACTGCTCTGAAAATGAAAAGCGGCATCTCCTGATCCTCAAAGATGGTTTGAGCACCATTAGAACCATAGAATGGTTTGGGTTGGAAGGGAACTTAAAGATCATCTAGTTCCAACCCCCCTGCCATGGGCAGGGACCCCTTCCACTAGACCAGGTTGCTCCAAGCCTCATCCAGCCTGACCCTGGACACTTCCAGGGATGGGGCATCCACAGCTTCTCTGGGCAACCTGTCCCAGTGCCTCTCCACCCTCTCCGGGAAGAACTTCTTCCTGATATCTAATCTAAACCTCCCCGCTTTCAATTTAAACCCGTTACCCCTTGTCCTGTCACTACAGGTCCTTGTAAAAAGCCCCCCCCAGCTTCCTTGTAGCCCCTTCAGGCACTGGAAGGTGCTATAAGGTCTCCCCGGAGCCTCCTCTTCTCCAGGCTGAACAAGCCCAACTCTCTCAGCCTGTCCCCATGGCAGAGGGGCTCCAGCCCTCTGAGCATCTTCGTGGCCTCCTCTGGACTCGCTCCAACCAGTCAATATCCTTCTGATACTGAGGGTTCCACAGCTGGATGCAGCACTCCAGGTGGGGTCTCAAAAGTCTCTCCATCCCCTTGCACGATCAGATTCCTGGTTCTCACATGAGCTGAGACTAGCCAGAAACATTTAAAATAAAGTGAGATTCCAGGAAAAAAAAAAAAAATGTGGCAAGCTGCCAGAAGGCAGGAATTGGCTGTTCTAAGAGCGTGGATGACCACCAGTAAGAAACCCACCCTGGAATTGCGTATTAAACATTAACTCACTCGGTTAAACACAAACATTTTGTGGGTAACCGCCTTGAAGCGTGCTTGCGGCACGTCAGGCGGCTGCAGTTTCCCTGCACAGGCAGGAACCTCGCCGACCTACCGGCACCTGCGGGGCTGGAAGTGCAGCTTGTTTCCCTGTCCTGAGGAGGCCGAGCTTACAGCACAACGCCGTCCGTACTACCGTAAGCGTCAGCCTCAGCAGAGACCAACAAAAACAGAAGTGCAGCGGCGCGTTGTCACATTCTGCTTGCAGAGCATCTCCTTGAGGGCACAGCAACCCGTGGAAGGGAACGCTTTCATCCCGGAAAGCACAGCCAGCTTGCCCCGCTCCGCGGGACGGGCCTTCAGGGCGCTCCAGGGCAGTCTGCCCGCAGGACGGCCTTCCCCGGGAGATCGCTGCCGCCTGTTTTCCTCAGCAGCTGCAGACGG